AATACATACAACCTTGGAAAAACTGTAAAGAGAAATAAATCTGTTTGCAAAAAAGACAGAGGAAATGAAATAAAATTTTCGTTTAGTCACACGTACCGAGTAGTCGAATGGAACACCCTGCAGAAAGAAAGCATAGAAAAAAAGAAAGTTATTTTTCAATGAAAAAGGAAGTTTAAGAACGTTGTGAATAAATAAAACAAAGCACAAAAATAAATGACGTAACAAAAAAAGCCAGCTGAAATAAAAAAGAGGTTGGGTGTGTGTGTGGGGGGGGGGGTGTTATTAAAGAGATAAGTAGATAAGTCAATACTCACATATTTTCTTAAGATTTGTTTGGTTTCTGGCATCAGGTTTTCATTGCAAGGGTGAGCGACCATGTAGTAAGTTAGACTCTCGCGCAGGCTCTTTGCATGCTCCTGTTTTTGTTTTACATAAAAATAACAGTTAACTTGAAGTAAAAAAAGGAAAAACATTTTATGTTGGTGTAAAAACACAGCAGGATATAAAGAAATGAAGATATAAAACACATGTGAGAGACTATGAAACAGAAAAAATGAGGCTGACAAAAAGCATAAAAAAGGATGAGGTTTTAAGCAGCAAAAAGTTGAGCTGCATTACCTGAATATGCGATGTGTGTGTTATCAGTTGGACAAAAAAATACAAAAAAGACGAAAAGGGGTGGTTGCTAAATACTGAAAAGGATCATGCTTAAAAATGCTAGTATTTCAGTCGTTGGATTGCATTACTCTTTATTTTGAAGAGCACACACTCCAGAAAGACACGCCCATGTCAGTCACATTTACTTGTGATCTGTTGTATGCCAGCCTGAAAGAAGCTTTGAAATTCTTGATTACAAGCTGAGCTTCGTCAGCAATCAAGTCGGTTCTGTTGTTTGGGCAGAGGACTTCGAACATTTTTTTCCTAAAGTTAGCAACAACTGTGTACAGAAACCGTATGAGCTTAAAGGTAAAAACACCTGTACATTGATCCAAAAATAAACAAAAAATATTAGCACAAAACGCCATGGTGACTTTTTACTGAAAAATAAAAAAGACATGGGACTTGCATGGAGACTATAAATTGTATGGCTTGTTTCTTGGACTACGAAAAATACCATGTGAATTCGATCAAGCTGGAATCCTATCATTCTCTCCCTCAGGTGAACAGATAACGCCATTGGAGTTTCAAATGCCTTTTGGAATAATTTCTGGAAAAATTTGACCCGATCAAAGATGCATCAAAGGCACAGAAGGGGGGGGGGGGCACAAAAAAGAACAGAGCATTGAATGGAAAAAAGAGAGTATTGTCTGCCCATATTTATGTTTGTACTTACAGCAATGTCGCATTCGATATAGTATCTTGACCAGTAACTTTGTGGGAGAAGATTGTGTCTATCCTATTCATTTTGCTCGACCATTACTGCTTTTCCCAACATATTAATCACGTACTCATTTACCCGGCCATACACTTGCATGCAAGAACCCTATGTTCAACCAATGTCGAGCCCATTGTACTATTCTTGGGCTGCCACAGAATGAAAAATATGGAAAATTCAGAGTTAGAAAAGAAGCTTGAAGGGAACAAAAAAGAGGAAAGGGATGTTCTTCAAATGATGTTACCATTGCTTATATACCTTTGCGGTGCTTTCAATTGAAGTTTTTCATATCTTACTCATCCCTGTACAGGTTAGATTGTCTATGGAGATATGTCAACCTGAATATCACCCTTGCTGCTCTGTGGTTCTTTGTGATCTGAGAATCAATTTCTCCTCCTACAGAAAAGCACAACAAAAAATTAGGAGTAGCGAGACAAATGAGTTGTTCCTTTCTACTAAGAGGGGGTAAACTGATGTAAAAATAATGGCAGCTGCTGATTTCTTTGAACAATATTCAGTTTTCATATATTAATTTGCTACAGAAAAACAAAGCGATTTTCAGAGAATTAGCTCATTCTCTGAACAATGGCAGCTGCTGATTTCCTTGCACAGTGTTCAGAATTCATACAATAAATTGCTACAGAAATACAAAAAAAATTCAGAAAATAATTCCTTCTTGAACAAATGACAGTTTGCTGTCAGAATTCATATGACAACTTGCTACAGAAAAACAAAGCGATTTTCAGAGAAATAGTACATTCTTGAGATAGTGGCAGCTGCTATCACATTGAAAAGTGTTCAGAATTTCGTCCAAAATAGATTCCCCCAACAGAATAAAAATGAACTGCTAGTCTTAGTTCATTCACTGAAAAAATGCCATTGTTTCAGAGATGCATTTAGGGATTTTCTTTTTCCCACATCCACAACCGGTTCCGATTCCCTATGGAGATATGTAAACCTGAATAT